TAGACACTAGAAACATTGAGTTGATTTCTTTAGCTGATCGAGATGGCCTAGATTTATTTAATAAAGAATTCTTTTTGCTTATGTGTTGCTGCCATAATCAAAACTCCATAATGTTCATGTTAACCAAAGGGGACTAACCATAGCTGAAATCTCAAAGAGACCATGTGATAGACCACAATACTACGAACTCGAGAGTGGATTCTAACAATACCTAGTGGGAGGGTAGCTGGTTGCTTCTAGTAGTGACCACTATGACTTTAAAACATGTTTGTATTATTTTTAATTTTTAGCACATGATAGTACCAGGGAGAAAGGTCACATTCTACACAAAATTCAGTTTTCAAATTTGTTTGTAAGCAATATTTGCTCTTTTAAATCAATGTTAAAGTTTGTGATACAGCAGCTGCTGTGGGTATTTCTCAATAACCCTGATGTCTAAACGACCTAGGTCTGTTCCAGGAGCTTGCTAATGTGATAAAGCCCATAGGGAATAATTAAAAATACCATCAGTGAGCTGAGCTGGAGATGTAGCCCATTTGGTATAGTGCCTGCCTAGTGTGCACAAAGACCTGGGTTCAATCCCCAGTACCTGTTTTAAAAACTGAGTGTGGTGGTGTACACTTCTAACCCAGCACTTGGGAAATGGAGGCAGGAGGATCAGAAATTCAAGGTAATCATCATCTACACAGCGAATTGGAGGTAAGCCTGGGCTACATGAGACCATGTCTCAGAAGACATCAATGAAAATGTGGGCTGCAGATCTTGTTTCTGTCCCAGTCAGATGGAAGCAACTGAAAACGTGTGCAGGTGATTAAAAAGCATCATCTCATGTCTCTGGTTCTTTCATTTACATTCTCCCCTGGTGGGGGGTTCCTGCAGGAATGAGGTTAAAGCTACCCAGAAACAGGTCTGCCAGGTCTGACTTGGACCCACCTGATGCCTCTTAATGGCTCTGTTCTCTCTGTTCTTGTGTGTAAGATGGGGAGCTTGAAACAGAGCTTGAGGCCTTGTGAGGCTCTGCCCACATGGAGCAAGTGAGGGCTTAGCCTAGCTCTAACATGGCATGGGCTCTGTAGATGTTAGCCTTGATTCTCTCTCCCTCTCCCTCCCCCTCCCCCTCCCCCTCTCCCTCTCCTTTCTCTCTCCATGCTGGGGACATACATCTATGCCAGTGTATATGGAGACCAGAGGTTAGCTTCAGGTGTCTTCCTCAGTCATTTTCTGCAGACCTCCATGCTTGCCAGCCTGGCTTTTATGTGGTCCTGGGGTGGGAATCCTTATCTTGTTCTCATGTGACAAGTGCCTTATCCACTGAGCCATCTCCCCCAGCCCCTTAGCTTTGATTGTCATAAACACCCTACATAAAATGTGAGCGTCAAACGTGTTTATTCAGAAGCACATACAGATTTCATCTTTATGGATTAGGCTGCTCTTGAGCAGGCAGGAGTGTGGGGTGTGGTGGCCCGCGCTGCTCAGCTCTCCTGCTGAGGGTTGGTGGGTCAAGCCTTCCCCTTGTCCCATTGTGGAGTCTCGTAGGGCAGGAGAGGGCCCATTCCTCTTGCCTCCTTCCAGTCTTCTGTAGAGTCAGGAGGACTAAATGAAGGGGGTGTCCCTCCCTGACACAGAAAGAAAGCATGGGTGGGCCAGATGGAGTGGATGCTGGCAGATGCACCCCAAGTGTGGGGAGGCTGTGGTGGTGTCTTGTGCATGTCACAGGTACTGTGGCCTCTGGCTTGGCTTCAGGAATCAGCCCACTTATTCCCACCACCAGCTTACACGCAGTATTAGAAGAGAAGATCACGGAAAATCATAATCTTGAACATGTGGGAAATATTGTCACAGACTAAGAGATAAGTTCCAGTACTTTGAGAAGACTCCCTTTGGTGATGTTGAAGGGTCTGGAAAGGCTACATGGATATGAGGAAGTCCTCATATCTCTTTGACTGTGTTTACTTGCTCCCACCTGACAGGGGAAGGTGTGAATGCGTTGAGGGTACATAGAGTTGGGGTGTGTGCAGGCCAGCCCCCATTGGGGTTCAGGTTGTAGGGCTCTGTTGTATTTTTCTCTTTTAGCCCACCTCTCGGGAGAGTGAGTTTGTCAACTTTAGCTTTACCTGCTGGGGATCCGGGTATTTGATGGATGTTTGCAGCCTGT